AAATTGTACAATCTAAAGGATCTGAGAAAAAAAAGTTTGAAGAAAAATGAAGAGAACATCAGAGATCTGTGGACAAGAGTATGCAGTCTAATATATGCTCTTATTTTAGAATCCAGATTCCCAAACCAGGACAAGACAACAAAGGAAGGAAAATTATAGGTCCAAGTTTCTTATGAACATATATGCAAAAACCTAAATGAAATACTAGCTAATGTAATACAAAAGCATATTCACAAAACAACAAAGTGTAAGACAACAACGAAGGTTCAATATCAGAAAACTATCAATGTAATTCATTTCACACATGGGCTAAAGTTGAAAGCCCATATGATTATCTCAATAATCAGCGTAGAAAAAGCATTTGACACTGTTCAACACCTACTTTCTTTTGTATGAATTAACATAGAACTAAGAATATACAAAAAAAAAAAGAAAGAAAAAAATAGTATAACGAACTCCAACATACCTGCCATCGACAATTACACGGCTGATTTGTTTTATCCATACCCTCACCCACTGTCCATCACTAACAACTCCCACCTACACTGGAGGTTTTTAAAGCAAATCCCAGACATCATATTTCATCCATAAATACTTCAGTGTGTATGACTTTATAAAAGATAAGAGCTCCTTTTTTTTTTTTTTTTAAGGACCAGACCCTGGGCACTCTTATCATTCCTAAAAAAATTATCAAAAATTCTTTAAGATCTTCATATATCCAGTGAGCATTCAAATTTCCCCTCTTGCCTCATAAATACTTTATATTAGGTTATGTCTCTTTAGTCTCTTTTAATACACAGGCTCTCCCTTTTTGTTTTTCCTTTGCAATTTGTTGAATAAAAATCATATTGTCTTCATTTTGCTGCTTATATCCCTATTTTGTTTAACCAGTTAGTTACTTTAAATATTGTATTTCCTGTACATTGGTGACTTATTTGGATGCTTGGTCAGATTCAAGTTTGATTTTTTTGGCTCGAAAGGTGGCATTTTATTGCATTATCCTGGAAGGGGCATAACGTCTTATTATCTCTTTTTGTGATGTTGAGATTGGTCAGTGTGTTTAAGTGTCCTCGGACTGACCTACCTATGATAAAAATCGTCATCAGCTTTTCACTGATGGTTTTAATAGCCATGAATATTCTTATTCTTTATTCTTCCTGTTCCTTTATCTCTGGGAGTTTTCTATAAAGAAAACTCATCAACCCCTTGGTCACCCTGAGGTATAGTTCCAACAAGAAATTCAGTATGAATGCTTGATTCTTTCTTTTTATTTATCAGATTTCAGAATTAGTTGGTTCTTAAATCACCCAAAGCTGACTCATGCTTTTTTGCCCCTTTGAGTAACTTTACCACCTCATGGATTTTTAACACATCTGATGTGTTTTGATGCAATACAATTATCATTCCTTTTGGTGCTTGTGGTAGGCAGAATAATAATCCCCCAGAGATGCCTCCATCCTAATCCCTGGATCTGTGAATGTATTATCTAAAATGGCAAAGGGAGAGTTAAGGTTATGGAATTAGAATTGTTAATCGCATGAGCTTGAGAAAAGGCAATTATCTGGGTGGGCTCAGTGTAATCACAGGAGTCCTTAAAAGTGGAAGGAGGGAGGTAGAGGAGTACGTCAGAGTGATGCACTGTGAGAAGAACTTGACTCTTCTTTGCTGGCTTTGAAGACGGAGGAAGGGGATTATGAGCCCAGGGATGCTGGTGGCATCTGGAAACTGAAAAGGAAACAGATTCTCCCCTATAGCCTCTGGAAAGGAACCCAGCTGATCCTTTGATTTTAGCCCAGCGAGACCTGTGTCAGACTTCTGACCTACAGAACGGTAAGATAATAAATTTGGGTTGTTTCCAGCCTCCAAGTTTGTAGTAATTTCTTATGGCAGGAATAGAAACCCAATACAGTGCATATCATCTCTGTAAGAAAAAAATCAATAGTAACAATGAAACAAACAGAGAAAATATTCCGAACAGTAAGGGTTTAGTAGGTTTGACAGATAAACTTATAAAAATAAAATTTTCCCTACAGTTGCAATAACTAGCAAATATAATGAAAAATAAGAAACTGTTTTCAACAGTAGAAAGAAAAAACTATAATTAAACACCTAGGAATTAAGTAGGACCTTTACGCAGAAAACTTGAAAACTCTAGTAAAGAACATAGAAGACAAAGTGATAGAGAAACATTTTATGTTCTCGGATGGGATGATGCAATATTACAAAGACGTCAATTCCCTGAATTATTCTATAAATTTAATGTATAACGATAAAAATTCCAGTTGGGCTGCTTGAGAAACTTAATAAACTTACTCTAAAATAAAAAGAAGCAATAAAGGATCACAAATAACTAAACAATCGAGAGAGAAAAAGCGAGAGAGAGAGACAGAGAGAGAGACAGAGAGAGAGAGAGAAACTTGCCGAATGGATATGAAGTCCAGTAATAAAGCAGTGTGATATTGCTGCAAGAAAGACAAATAGAACACAGGGACAGAATAGGAAGCTTTAAGACAGAATTTTACGTAGTTAATATATGATACAGGTACTGCCACAAATAAATGAGAGGAAGTATAGAATGTTTTGTTGGTATTGTTGGGAAATCTAGCTTACTCTCTAGCAGAAAAAACAAAACAAAATAAAACCTGGATCCTGGATTCCTAACACCATGTACAAGAATTGAGGCCTGATGGATTAAACGTCAAAATGTGAAAAGTAAAACTATGAAGTTGATAGAAGAAGATATAGGACATATTTCTGTCACCTAGGAATAAGGAAGGCTTCTTAAAATGTCAGAAACAAACACAAAATGTAAGGCAAAAATGATTGATTGATTTAGGTATTTCTATTAACTGAAGTATACCCTGGATAAAGTTTATGAACAGATGAAAAAGGGAGAAGATATTTGCATGTCTGAAACTGACAAGATATACATAACTAGAGTACAGAAGAGTTCTTGTAAGAAAGACAAAAACTCCAGCAGAAAAATGGGCAAAGAATCTGAGCAGACGATTGATCGTAAAGAAAGCAAAAATCTTATAAACATGTAAAGATATGCTCAGATGCATCAGTAATCTGAGAAATTCAACAATGAGATGGTACTTTACATCTGTTACACTAGGGGCAACAAGAAAGCTTGATAATGCCAAGGTTGGGAAGAATGTGAGGGCATAGTTACACTCAGGCATTGGTTGTAGATGTGTAGACTGGTGTGGCATTGAGGACAGCAACTTAGAATTATTTGGTCAAACTAAGAATACTCATAACCCGTGACTTAATTTATGTTCTGTTTGTGACACATTATATGGAAAATTAAAAGACCAAGCACAAACTAGGAAGATATATGCAACATATAATAGACAAAGAATTAGTATCTAGAATATATGAAGAACTAATATACATCAGGAGAGAGGGAGAGGGATGGAGAGAATCCAGTAGAAAAATGGGTAAGAGAACTACTAAGCAGTTCACAAAAAGAAATTTGAAAGACTCATAAAGCCATGAAAAGGTGCTCAACCTCAAAAGTAATGAGATGCAAAATAAAACCACAATGAGATGCCTAGACTACACAAGTCCAAATACACAAAAATTCAACATTCAATACCAATGCCAAATGTTGGTGAGGATGTGGAAAAATAAGAACTCTTACACACTCCCCGCAGGGACATTACTTGGTAGAACTACTTTGGAAAATGGTGTGGCACTACCTATTAAAGTCCCACATGTGCAAAACTTAACAGCCAGTCAATCACTCCTACTCTAGCATACATGCACTAGTGGACATGTACTAGAATGTCCATAACAACATTGTTGACAATAGCTAAAAATGGAAAGAATACAAGTAACCATCAATAGTAAAAAGCATAAATAAATCAATGTATATTCATATGTTATGTTGGACATATTCCACTGTCTAACAATGGAAAAAACTTCCTGTTACACAACATCAAAGTTGGGAGAATCCTACAGCAGAAGAGTGAGAGAAGCAAGTCACAGAAGAATACATATAGTATTAATTATGTTTATATAACATCAATAACAGGAAAAAGTTAAACAATACCTTGTTTAGAGATGCAATCATGAATCGCAAAAGTATGTAGAAAAGCAAGGGAATTATTGTAACAAAAGTCAGGGTAGTGGTTATTTCCCGGGCAAGGAAGGCAATGCAATGGTTGCGACATTTCTAAGGTGCTCGTAACGTTCTATTTCTTAAGCTGGGTGTTAGTTGCACAGGTATTTGCTTTATTGTTATTATTGTTTAAGATGAAATTATTTTATATACTTCTGTATGTGTAATGTATTTCGCACTAAAAATGATTTTTAAAACGATTGGCTTGGGCAATCTCTTAGGTTTCCTTAATCATCGATGGTCTGTGGCCCAGCCACTTTGCAACTGGACCTATTTTTGGCCCCTCATTGACAGTTCAACTTAAAACAATATACACTGAGATGCATACACAGGTGATTAGACGGGAAACCTTGAAGGGAGGGGGGCGACGCACTAACGAAGAATCGCAGAATAGGAGACTCGGAAGAGGAAGGTGATTTGATTGAGGCCCCTCTTCTCAGGGAGGCAACCTTTTACTTGAGAGCTCCTGAGGTCCAGTCCTGGTTCTGCCTTTGAATTGAGCACGTCTCTTCTCCAATCCTGTTTTCTCATGCTGGCTTTGAACACCGTTAAGGAAATTCAAATAAGAGAACAAATAATCGTTATTATTCTTTACAGTTGGAGAATTGAGGCCGCGGGGGGACGCCACTAGCTCAAGTTGCCACTTCCACGTTGGAACTCAGGGATCCTGAGTCCAGCACCCTGACCTGCGCACTGTCCTATTATACAGCTATTCTCTTCTTCTGGCTTTGGGCCCATAGCTTGACGTCACAGACGAACTGCCCCGCCCCACCCCGCCTCGCCCCGCCCCGCCCCTTCGGAAGCCCCGCCTCCTCGAGCGACCCCCGCCCCTCCCGTCGTTCGCTGAGTCCCGCCCCCAGCCGCTCGCCCTCGAGTGGCGGCTCCGGCGCGTCCCCGCTAGCGTCTCTTCCGGCCCCGCCCCTCCCGGCTGCCATGACAACGAGTCCGCGCCCCGCGCAAGGCTGCCGCTCGGGCGGGACCCTGGCTGGACCGCGGCCCCCGGCCTGGGGACACAGCTGCTACCGCCGCCGCCACCTCGTCTCCTCCCTGTCCCCGCCCCGCGTCTCCTCACCTCCCTCGGGTCCGCGGCCGGGGTCCCTCCCCGCCGCCCCAACCCTGCGCGGATGCCGAAGGTGAAGGCGCTGCAGTGCGCCCTGGCGCTGGAGATCCGCTCTGTGAGTACCGGTCGCGCCCCCATCGCCGCCGCCTGGGTGTCGTCAGCCCCCGGAATTTACTAGGGTCGCCGCCTCCGTTCACTTCCGAGAACCCCGGGTCACCGCGAAACCCCCTCCACCCTCCGAATCATCCCTATGGAGCTTTGATCCCGTGTCATTTGGCTCTTCCCCAACCTCAAAATCACGAACGCCCTCCCACTCCAGCCACACAGAGGCCTGACGCCCCCCACCGAACCCCTCCACCTCAGCTCCCCTAGCTTCCTCCCAACTTCCAGTTCGGGTTCCTTCAAATCCTTTCCAAACCACTTTAGAAAGTCCTCCTCTCTCCTCTCAACTTTCCAGTGAATTGGGTGGGGGAAGAGTCTTCTTTTAAAATTCCTCTTCTCTGCTCCAGTTCTTTTAGTGAGAGTATTACTGGCCCGACTTCTCCCCAGCCTTCGGGGGGCGGGGGGGGTGCTTTTCCTCTTTCAGACAGATTAACAAGCTTCTGATTCGTGAAGGGGCCTTTCCTCTCAAAGTAGAGTCCCCACACCCCGCAACCGAAATATGTCAGCATTGCACACAGCACCTTGCCATCTACCCCAGGGCCAATACCTCGGAAACCATTTCAGGCCCCTCCAGCCCCCAAACTCTCCCGATGTTGAGAAGGAGCCCCTATCCTTCCCTTCACTCCAAGAAAGGCACCAGCTTTTAGAGGGACACTACTAATTCTCTAAACTTGCTCCAGAGGACCTTCAGCCCCACCCAGTCACTCTCCAGACATGCTGAAGAGGTTAGTGGCCCCCCAGCTTGCTGTGGAAATCCAGCTGAGGCAGAGAACCCCCTGCCCTTCCTCAAGTGAAGGGCCTTGGACCTCTCCATGCCATGAGCAAACGCCATCCCTCTGAATAATCTTACAAGACCCTTCCAAGGGGTTTTGATCTCCTTCCCCCTCATTCTTTACAGGACCCTCTCATTCTCCTCTTCAGATGAAATCTCCAGCCTCTCTCTTCTAGAGGAAATCCCCCCAAAAGTCTTTCCATACCTCCATTTTAGACCTGCAGGCAGTTTGGAAACAAAAGTCCTCCTTCAGTCCTTTTTTTCTTTTTCCACTTCTCTAAGTCCTTTTATTTCTCATCTCTTTCATCTCCCAGCAAAACTCTGTGTGTGTGTGTGTGTGTGTGTGTGTGTGTGTGTGTGTGTGCTTAAGTAGCCAACACCATTCCTCTGGGTGCTGCATGGAGTAGCCCTCCCCACTTCCTTCCTGCACGCCCTGCAGTCAAGGCTCTCCATCCCCCCACCACAAAGCATCCTCTGCTTTCCTTGCTGTCTTTCCTCACATTACAATGAGGCCGCTGTAGCACAGTCCCTGAAACCTCCAGGGAAGCCACAGGACTGTTTTAGGTCTTTGGCTAGGTCTTAAAGAAAGGAAGGCCGGGTAGGGCAGAGTGTGAGGCAGGCTTGGAGAAGAAAGTTTCTGGCACTGTCGCTTTATCTTTAAGGCTGCAGAGATTTTACTCACTGCAGTGTCAGAAACTCTATAGTTTTGGCTTCAGATGTTTTTTTCATCCCACAGCTGCCAAAGCTTGGCAGCCTTTTTGTAAAGGAGGATTCATTTGGCAAAAGAATACACGAAGTTTCCTGAACCGCTGCGCCCAGGGCAGTTAGTAAAACTCCTGAGTTCGGCCTCTCTAGACTTTGTTACTGGCTGCTGCTTCCTCCTCTGCTAACCAATGCAGTTTAGCAGCCTGGCGAGAGCAGCTGCCTGACCGGACCGGATGTTGCTTTCCTTCCTTGGTCAATCCAGACCTGCTTAGAGCAAGCACTTGGTGGTAACTGACTACTGCCTGAAGGGGTCAGAGAGAGAAAAGTTATTTCACTACCCTTTCTCCCCAGTATAAGTTGTCAGGCGGAAAGTGAGTGGCTGTATAATGGAGCTTTGTTGTTCATCGTGGCTTAAGAAATTATGCAGGTGGAAACATTCCTGTTTCATTTTTTTCAACAGACATTTGAGTCACAGAATTTTACAGTTCTAAGAAATCTTAGCTTTCATTGGATTGAATTTCTTTTTATGGGTGAGAAAATTGAGGCTTAGCTTGACTAAATGTTTTTCTAGGTTTGCGCAACTATTTAGGGGGCAGATCTGCAGGAAGACGCTAAGTTTTCTGACCAGCAAAAACCCCATTAAATGACTCTGATGCTCAGAAGGAGCAAAAAAGACCGTTAATAACCTCACACATTAAACAAGCTTGATTGATTTGGCTTTGATAGAATGGAGGAATTAATGTGAGCATAGATATTTTTAACATCTTTTCAATTTCATTTTTTTCAATTTCATTTAATTCTTTACATTTATGGGGTATAAAAGTCAAAACTGTATAAAATGATACACTCTGAGCAGTCTTATTTCCAGCCCTTTTCAAACCTGTTTTCCATCTATTTTCATCTGCTGTAGGTAACCATTTTTATTGGTGTCTGATTTATTCTTCTAGTATTTCCCTTTGTAATATAATCAAATAGATACATACACACACACACACACACACACACACACACACTGTACACTCCCCCCTTCCCATATATATTTTTTTACTTTCCTTCACAATAGGAAGCATATTATATAAGCTAGTCTGCACTTTGCTTGTTTTCTTTCCTTAATGTATCCTGAAGATCACTCTAGGTAAGTGGGCATCTTCTTTAACCTCAACTCTTTATTGACATTTTTCAAACATACAGAGTAGTTGGGAGAATAGTACAATGAATATATTCCATGACCTATGTACGTTAATTCGATATATCTGTATATTTGTATATGTATAAAAATAAATATTTTTTACTAAAAATATGAAAGTAAATTGTTGCCTAAATACTTCAGCATATATCTTCTAAAAATAAGGACATTGTTCTAAATAACCACAATACTATTATCACACCTAAGATAATTATCCATAATTTCTTAGTATCTAGTCCATTTCCAAGTTTTCCTAGTTGTCAACAAAAATGGCGTGTGTAGTTAACTTTTTCAAACCAGGATCCATTCAAAGTTTACATGTTGCATTTGGTCGTTAGGTTGTTTTAGTCCATTTTAACATAGAGCAGTCCTACTGTTTCTTTCCCACAATGTTTTCCCCCCTCCGTGGATTTAGATAAATTCATACACTCATACAACCATTATTTGGATCAAGATTTAGAACACTGCCATCGCCACGGTAAATTCCCTTGTTCCCCCTTTTAAGCCCCACGCAGAGGGAACTCCTCTTCTGATTTCTATCAGGGAAGATTAGTTTGCCAGTACTTGAACATCATATTAAATGAGCTATATAGTGTGTAATATTTTGTGTGGGCTTCTTCTGTTCATCGTATTTTTGAGACTCGTTCATGTGCTGTGCCTATTGGTAGTTCCTTTATATTGTGGGGTAGCATTCTATCATGTGATTTGTATCATGTTCTATCACACACCACAACATGTTTACCCAGTCTCTTTATTGTTGATTATTTGGGTTGTTACCAAGTTGTGGTTGTCATGGATAAAACTATGAACATTCATTCCTATAAAAGTTTTTTTATGCACGCTACCTTTTGGAGACCAGGCTCGGATACAGATTATCCCATGTTGTGTCATTGTCTGAATTTTTCCCCATCATGGTGATACTTAATTTGTTCTTCTAAACTGGAAATTAGGTGTTTTATTTCTACCTGCCTACTTGAAGTGGGGCACTTCATTCCCTTCTCCCCTTTCCATGTTTATTTTTTTGCTGTAGTCTTGTATTTGTGGTATCTCATGTTTAATACTGTGGTAATATGAGAGCAAAAACATAGTAAACATGAAAGGTTTTGGTGTATAACGCAATATTTTGTGTTGCTCAACAGAGCCGTGACTTGAGAGAAAATATGTTGCTGGGAAGAAAGTGTGACTTTTCTCAAGGAATCTTGGGAAAATGATGTAATATGCCAAAGTAACTTGTTTTTAAAGAGCAGCCAAAAATTATATTTCCCATCACTTACACTTTTAATATTTGAAACATCATATCTTTGATATGAAAAACTATATTTGCTGCTTCTTCACTCTACCTTCTTCTTCTTATTCAGTAGTGACGTTTTCATGAGATGCTTTTAGGTATATAGAAGGAAGAAATTGGAGGTACAAGAGTAAAGCCCAATGCCTGGGCAATAAAATCAGCCAATTTGCTTCACCTGAATTGTGTCAGTTTGGGGTTAGTCTGTATTGTATAATTCCCATTTTTCTTCTCTATACTCACCTCACCTCACTACCTCACTCAAATTATTGATAGCATTGAGGCAACGAGATCTGGATACTTTTCAATCACAGTTCATCTGAACATTCGTGATCGTTTTCTGGTTTCCTTACTCAGTTATGCTGCAGCTGGTGGTAAATTTCCCTGGAATACAGACTTTTTAAAACTTTAACTCTAAAGTACTTCAAACTTACAGAAAAAGAAAACCTAAATACTGTGATCTCCCCCCACCCTGATTTAATAAATCCTCATTTTACATGTTTCCTGCAAATTTTTAAGAAATAAAATGTTACAGATGTAGTTAAGGCCCCTTTGCACCTCTTGCTGAAGCCAATTTTCCTCCGTCCCTTCCTAGAGGTAACATAATCAATATCCTGAAGTTGGAGTGTATTCTTTTCATTCAGGTTTTTGTAAGCTTACTACATATTTGTGTACGCCTACGTACTACGTGTACTATTGTTCTGTTTTAAAACTTTACACAAATGGTATCATACTGTAGGTATCCTTCTGCAGATCTGTTTTTTCCACTTCACTGTTTCTGAAATTTGTCAGTGTTGATTCTTACAGATCTAGTTAATTTCCTTAATTGTTATGTAATGCTGTATATTTATATGACAGTGATTTAATTCTTATTCCCCTATTGATGGACTTTTAAATACCAGTTTTCCTCTTTTTTAATATTACAAACAATGTTGCAATGAGAATATTTGAACATACCTTCTGGTGTCCATGAGTCAGTTGTTCTCAAGGGCAGATATTGTGCCC